CCCAGACACAGACTCTCGACCCGTTTCCTACATGTCCACGCGCGCAATGTGAGCTCAGGAGTCGACTCAAACATCAAAGACCTAGTGCTCGGTGCCTGCAACCCCCCTACCCCGCAATAATGGCCACATCCGCTGCTCTTCTTCCCCGCAAAAGCATTCCATCGGAACGGGGCCCCACCCTGACCGCTATACAGCCAGGAACACGGCGACAGGGACGCTGCATCAGGAACACGGGGCTTACCATCGAAGGCGCATCTCGCGTATCCCCACTTTGACATCGCAGGATCGACCACCTCCGTTATCGTCGCGCGCCATCCTCGTGACCCAACCCCCCACTCTCATCCTTGACGGAAGAGGCGACGAGACCCAACCCTCGCAGCGATCACCTACCTCTCGCTCCTTTCAGTACGGAAAAAGTACAAGTAGCTACCCCGCTAGCCCCTCAGGTCGACTCTCTTGCCGCCCTCAAGCGCTTTTTCTCACATTGGCTTCTCTTGACCAACATGTTCTTCGACAACGTGCACGTCTACTATCTGGCCGTCATAGCCTATCTCGGCATCTTTTTGTTCGGCTGGGAGACCGGGGTAGCGGGGGGAGTCGTCGCTCAGAAAGGCTTCCTAGATGCCTTCCACGTCAAAGACAAGAAGCAGGTCTCCTCCGTCGTCGTCGCCATTCTGCAGGCCGGCGCGTTTTTCGGCTCTCTCCCCGCACCCATCCTTTCGAACAAATTTGGTCGCCGAAAGACCCTCTTCGGTTTCAACCTCTTCATCGTCCTTGGAACGGTCCTGCAGACGATCCCAGGCGTCGGTGGCAAGATCGCTCTTATTTATCTTGGGCGCACTGTGGCCGGATTTGGCATTGGAGGTATCACTTCGATTGCCTCAGGGTTTGTTTCGGAGTGCTGCCCGAAGGATGTCCGAGGTCGCATCACAGGCATGTTCCAGGTGAGTCGCTCAGCCAGCCTAGACCCAGGTCACCTTGCACATTTGCTGACATGAGGCTTGCACCGCCAGGTCATTCTTGCGGCCGGAGTCATGGTCTCATACTTCGTCAACTACGGCGTGGCACAGCGCTACAAGTCGGGCGCGCAAATCTGGCGGATCCCATTCGGCCTTCAGCTCGTCCCTTCAGGTCTCATGGGCGTGGGCCTCCTGTTTGCCACCGAGTCTCCCAGATGGCTCGCCAAAGTCGGACGTACAGAGGAGGCTCTGCGCAATCTCGCTTTCCTCCGTCGACGTAGCATCGATGATGATATGATCATTCTTGAGATGGCCGAGATCAACGCTGCCATCCGCGAAGAGAGTGCAGAGACCGTCTCCTTGCGCTACTGTCTTTTCACCAAGGGCATCAACATCCGCTTCTTCATCACCTTCTCCCTCTTTGTCCTGCAGCAGTGGTCTGGTCAGGTAAGTGGCCTCGATCTCAAAAGCGTTAGGCAAGAGTGTTGAAGCTGACGACCCAAATTGACATTTCTTCCTGG